TAGTAATTATTATGATTAAAATATATTTAAATGATGCGTGTCAATACTCAACATTATCTTTAGCGAAATTATAATTTGTTGGTGGGAGGGAGGTGGTATAGGTGAAGATCGCTGGTATCTAGCACCAGTAAAATCGGATGCTAGCAATATAATATTATATATATATTATTAAGAAAAATAAAGTTTAAAAATAAACAATTGAATTGATTTTATAATATTTTTATTTCTTTTTATCATTTGATCATGTGGCCACAGTAAATCTCTTTACAAGTAGGTACGAGTAAGATATTCAAAAATAATACATTTATATTTATATAGTTATAAATTTATAACGGATTGATTTAATATTAATAATACATAATTCGATTCTCGCGTCGTAGGTATATCAGTATATGCTTTTATTTAATTGTTTATATTTTTTTGTGGTATAATAACATAATATTATGTAGAGTGAATGCATCGCCCCTCCCTCTCACCATTGCTTTATAATATTTTACCGTTAGAATTAAATATTCTAATTGCGCCCATGAACTTCATCCACCTGTTGTTCACTACATTATCGTAACCATCGATTTCGTATAATTGTGAATTTTAGTAGGTACAAACAGAAGACTACGTACACTTTAAGTTTTATCATAATATTACCTTGAACTCCCGGAATGGTAAATTGTATGATATTTTAATATTACGCGTAATGGATTTAAATTGGCATGTTTTTTTTGTCGTTTCTACGATCGATAAGTAGGTGGTCCAGTTTAAGACACAAAAATCTTCTAAAAACGGGATTAATGGCGTCCTGTTTGAAGTTTGTCGGGATATGATGATAACAATAAGGAACAACCTCGTTTTAAACGGTACCTTTGGTCACCCCGTGAATAATGAATATACAATTATTCTATAATATTTTATACAACATAACTATAATAGATATCCCAGTATAATTAAGATAATGTCAGCTCCATTGTCGTAACCATTTCGATCGATCGATCGTTCGATACACTTTTTCTCTATCTCATTGTTCTATATTGATTGTTATTGATCTGTCGATCAGGTGGCCACGAGTACAGTGTGCAGTCACTGCAAGATGACGATCGACAACGAGGATCAGTTCCATCAACACCTCCAGAAGCACTGCAACCCGGCCAACTCGAACGCCGGCCAAGTAGCATTTCCCACGTCGTGCATCATATGCAGGCAAACGCTCGTGTCGGACATCGAGGTGAAGGTGCACGTGCACTATCACCTGTCTCGGCTCAAGGAACCTCCGGCCGTGTGCGGCAACTGCAACCGGTACAAGCGGTCCGCGTCGTCGCCGTGCGCCGGCTGCAACCCGGTCAGGAACAGCGCCGCGGAACGGTGTCCGGACTGCGGTTCGGCGTTCGACGCTTTCGGTGCGCTGCAACACCACCTGACCACCGTCCACAGGAAACCGTTTCACTGTTTCAAGTGCAAGGTAAGCGCGACATTAATCTACGGCGTGTATAACAGTTAGGGTGATTCTAATAAAGTGCTCACCCCCTTGTTTTTTTCCGTAACGCAGTTTTTAAAAATCTGATATCTTATTGAAAAACTGGTATTATATAATGATCCTGCTGAATACCGCACATAATCTAAATCAAAGAGAACTATAAAAATAAATCAATGTCCTGTCGTCAACTTCTTTATTTCTGAACTATAGTTTTTGGAAACACTATTTCAGACAATCGTTGTTATTAGTAGTCAGGGAGCAGTGCGCGGTGGCCGCGGGTTGTAACCACTATTATTATTGCAAATGGCTTTGACGAGAGTCTTAAAGTTTAGACATGTTTAACGTGACACACACTGTATTCCCCACATAGTAATATAACATTAATTGTAAATAATTATTTATATAAAATACGTAGCACGTCGCAGTGTAACGCAGCACTCTGTTGTGCGTTGCGTTTTCGACATGCGTTCAGTAACTCATACCGTCGATGTTTCGCACAGATCGGGTTCGAATCGCAGCAGGAAGCCACGATCCACTTGGGCACCCACCTGGCCACGCTCAACGGTTCTGTGGACGGCATCGAGTGCGGCCTGTGCCCTTGCGTGCTACCCACGGCCAACAGCCTTCAGACGCATCTGATCGAGCACACGTTCGCCGGATGCAAAGCGTTCACGTGCTACCTGTGCTCGGCCATATTCACCGCACCCACCGGACTCCAGGCGCACATGACCGTCGACCATTCAGCCGAAACACCGCCGTACGACTGCCCCAGGCCCGGATGCCAGGCCAAGTTCTTCTTCACCGCAGAGCTGGACCGGCACACTCTCGAGCACCAGGGACAGGACGTGCTGGCCAACGTGAGTTGATATTACCATTTCGCGGCAATGCACTTCTATCTATATGAGGTCGTAGACTGCGTTGCGGTGCCAACCTTAGGCCATATTATTATTTACTATGATGAGTGTACCAATAGTTTCCAAGCTAGTTATTGAGTACATGATCTTAGAACGAACCTAAGTTTAATATAGGTATATAGGTATATAAACGTACTGTTTGTGCGCATGCTCGTATTCTGTTTAGTCAGGTTATCAGTCATTCACGCATGCCCAATAGGCTCTAACTTTTTCAGCAATTTTGTCATCAAATCGAATGCACAGACATATACAGGTGTGACTACAATCCATAGTACATGATTTAAGGTGCCGACAAGCACGACCGTCGTATAGAATATAGGGATATAGCTGCTGATTTCCTTCTTAAATGAGATACTGTAATTCTCCAGGGGTTGCTAACTAGTATCTTTAAAAAAAAAATACAGATATTTAGGTATTATTTTCCTCCACTGTCCGTTCTCCACAATTGTCAAAAAAAGAAATTGTCACATACTAATTAATTTAAACATAATGTAGATAATATTATACCAACGAATTTTTAACGTACAGATAAAAATCAAAATTAGATTTATTCATATTTAACAAAAATATTATCGCACATTTTTTAATAACCTTTATATTATTAATATTAGGTGTGTTATAAACTTATAAACTCATATATATATATATATATCAAATAATTTGTTTCATAATTTCGTGTATGAAACAACTAAAATTATTTTAGTATTTAAAAAACGTTTAATATTTGAAGGAGAATACAATTTTTAGCAGGTAAAAATATCTATCTTCAAACCCTTTGGCACAGAGATGGCGAACCTATGACACGCGCACACTATTTTAGTGACTCACACGAATGTGTATACGTTTGATAATATTAAAGTTTTTGAAAAAATATTGAAGGGTTATCAAATTAGTTGACTCGCAGGGAAAACAAAATCCAACCAACATTTTTATTTAACACGCTGGTACAAAATGGTTCGTCATCCCTTAACTAGCAGATTCTATCATGATGCATATGCAATAGATTTATGTACTGTATGATGTAATACAATAACTATCACTAATCATTCACTGCTTATATTAACTACCAAGTGACACATACGTGGTGTAAAATTAGAAGATAATATCTGTCACCAGACTTCTTGAATATTCAATAAAAGAAAATTCCATAAAAAAAATGTAATTTGAATTAAAATTTGTACACTTAATACGATATGATACGCAAAACGACCTAAACCCCCTTGTTATGCCTTATGCCTATGAGTTGAAAGAATATTGTTATTATTTAGGTATGTGCGGACTGCGGTGCATAGTAATAATATTATAGTAGGGTACACTCCTTAATCATCGGGTCGAAAATTAAGCAGCCGCAACATTTATACTTTCAGATGAATTTCTACAAGTACCAAAACAAGCTGATGTCCATCTGCGAAAAACTGTCGTTTAAGTGCGCAGAGTGCTATCAAAGTTTCTTGACACAATCCGACTTGCAGTGTCACGTGTACGACCACCATCGGCAGCAGAAGGACGCACCGCCGACGGGACCGGAAACGAAAGACGTGAAACAGGAAATGAGCGGATGCGTGGTGAACGGTAACGCGGATGAAACACAGCCCTTGGACGGATGCGAACTGTCCGAGAACCCGATCAAAGTGGAGGAAGATGGGGACGAGGTGAGCGTGAAAACGGAACTGCGCGAAAGAGACGACGAGGACGAAGAGATGATCGATGTGGGAGTAAACAATCGCGACGAGCTGAAGTTGGGAGCAGATGAAGAAGATCCGGATATGCGTTGACATGGGTGTCGTCAATGCTGGGGCAGCAGTCGGGTCTCGGGATAGAGGGTCCCTGCCAAAAATTTTTGTTATTTTCAAACCACATTGCAAAGAGAAAAATCGCCTCAAAATGTATTAAGATAATCGATAGACGTTTGACCTCGATTGTCCCCGGAAACCTCCCCGAAATTGTTGCTTATATATTAAATTTCACCGTCATGATGATGATTCATGAGAATACAGTTATTATTATTATTACGATTATTGTTTATTATCATTGTTATATACACGCGCAAATGATACGCATGATATTAGAGTATATTGTTTTTAATAAGTAAATTCGTATTATTGTTACATATTATTATTATTACTAGCAGTATAACATAGTACACGTAATACTCAGCGTGTTCTGTTTATATTATTATTATTATTATTGTATACATCACATATTATGATTGTATATGTTGTGTTTACGGTGAATAATGCGCACACATTTAAAGTTTTAGGTGGTGAAATATTATTATTAATATGACCTCGTCGAGGAATGAATTATATTATTCGAGATAAATTATGTTATCACTTTCTTTTCGTACGTAATATATTAATACTTTTTAGCGTTATTGTTCATAATATTATACATTGTATTAAACGAGTCTTACATGTTTTTTAACGTCACTTATTAGCTTATATTATTATTTAAAGTCTTATAGGATTTATGTTTATGTTGAATGATTCATATAGATATTCCGTTGTTTTATTTTATTTATTATTGTACAAATATCATTATAGTTCTATTATATAAAAAAAACATGTGTATATACAACGATAATGTCTTTAAGGGTTATGGCTATTTCTTATGGTTAACAATATTTTGTTTTTATTTTACTTTAACTTTAATTGTGATACTATTTTATCAAAACGGTTTTTATTATACACACCGTATTTTTCTTTCGTTTTATTTAATCACACAATTACCTCCTGGACAGAAAAAAAATGATCTACTTACTAGATAAATTATTGTTGGTTATATCATTGATTGATCATAAGTACTTGATGAACATATTATGTCACAAAAATCATCCTTTTATAGCTGTACTTAAAATGGTTTGAGATTTCAATATAATCATAATGTACCATAATAGAATAGCAGTGTGAAATTAATGATTGGTGTCCTTGAAAACATCAGTACCTATAATAAATTATTGATTACATTAAGGTGCTCAAAAAAATTGAAAACGCTTTAATTAATGTTTACATATTTTAATAGCCTTATAGGTACCTACTTATAACAGATAACACTGCTAAAATGGCATTACCGAGGTAAAATATTTAATCTCCTCATTAGTGATATCATAATACTATTGTTTATCAGTCCATATTAGTGTAACGACTGATTCCAAATATTTTGAACACTCTGTAAATATTTTTTTGCCGCCCATCGTGCAATTGATATGAAACCACAAATTATAAATTTTTCATTTTTCAGAAAACGCTTTTCTATTTAATATATATTCATTAAAGTTCTAAAACATTAGAGTTTAGACCCTGTATGGAAATAAAGTTTTTTTAAGCGAACTGGCCATAGTGATATATATCGTACTTTTTGTATTTACGAAAACTTGAAACAACATACAACTATTAACCAATAAACTATATCACATTTTTCAGAACTTTAAGCCTTGCACCTTATTTTACTTAACAACAATAAGTATTAGCTGTCCTTTTTCAAATATTAATTATATATAACATAATTATAGTATAAACTATAAAGTAAATGAGCAATAAAATAATTGTATTCTAAATTCTTAAAAATAATATTTTCATCAATAATTAAGATTTGAGACTCACGGGTGAATTATATTATACTTTAATGTACCTACGAATTAAACGATTATCTGCATAACGATATATTATATATTATAAAAGCGTTAAAATATTCCTCAAAACTGCAATATATTACATAACTTTGAATTCTTACTATTTATACTATTGATATGCTAATAATTACTAGGTATTTGATATGTTAGGATTAGTATATTTTGATATCAACGAGAATTGTAAATTAAAACCAGAGCCAGGGATTAAATAAATGTAAATCACATAATTTACACGTCACCACCATGTCAGCAGATATTTCGTCGAAAACAATTATCCTCTCAACAATCACCGATTTACTTGTAAACGACAGAAAAATATTAATTAGACAAGAAACAAACATGGTATGGCTCAGTTATTGGGATTTTGTCCTACCTTCAACAAATTAAAAAATGCACCAAAAAGTGGCACATCCCACAAAACATAAATAGACCACAAGAAGTCGCTCTAACCATAGTGAGAATTGGTCAATTTTTTTATGACACACTCATTCAGCATTTAATTAGCGAAAACCCATAGCC